GTTAATAAATAAATTAATAAAGCACTATATACAAATTATTTTACTAATCAATACTTAGTATATTGTAATGTAACATCATTTTCACAAAAATGAAACTCGTTTATCTCACCAATGGTAAACTTAAGCCAATGATTTATATTTATATTATAGTCAAGTTTTTGACGTTCAGGAATCCATTAAGAACTCATTGTAAACGATTTCGTTATGTTATTGCTAACAGATTACCTTCACAATATTACAACGGTACCTACAATGAAAATGATACATATATATTTTTTCAAACAGAAATACCTATGCAATATTTGAACATTTAATATTAACTGAGTAGCGATAAGTACATTTAAAGATCAACGTTAGAAAACAAACTGATCTTTTGTGCATATACCTTATTTTCATTTCTATTGTTAAATAATATTAATGGGCAAATCATGTAGGCTTTAAATAAAAAAAAATTGTGATGCGCAAACAACATCCGACGGCTATATGGGATACCTGTATATAATGTATATTTACTATTACTCGTAAACTTTTAACTTCACTTCAAAACTTTTTAATGTGCATTTYTTATCCATGTAATCAAATCGTACTTCAATAAATTGTAACCTACGTTATGGATATTATTATCTAATTACTCAACGATTTTAATATTAAAAAATTTATAATAATCGTAAATAGATCAAAAATGTGAATTTTTGTGAAAATGGAAGAAACTATATAATAATATATAGTTAATATAYAATAATTTTAATTTATATAAAAATTAATTAATTAAAGATTAAAAATATTAATAAAACCTATCAATGCACTCATTATTATTCATTAAATTAATATAACACTTGAAAATATTTAATAATTTACATAATTAATTGTTGATAGTTGATAGTTGTTTGACAAATAACATCGTATTTGGTAGAAAAATTACCAACTACTTATTATTTGTAATTTATTAAACGAGAAATAATATTATTTCAACCCTGACATTTAATTACCAAAAAACTTCATATTTTTGTTATCCGAAGATTTAATTTGGTTATCGACGAATAAATTGAAAAACCACCCCTAAAATTGTTAAATATTATAGCTGCTTCTGTGATCAACAATATGGATATATCAATAGATCCTTGTGATGATTTTTATCAGTTCGCATGTGGAAAATTTATAAAATATGCGATTATCGACGACGACAAACCGTTTCAGACGACATTCAGCATCGCTGGCGATAAGCTGTTGAACAACCTGCGAATAATCATTACCAAACCCATCAAACCAGATGAACAGAAACCGATTAAAATGGCGAAACTACTGTTTAAATCGTGCATGGACAAAGGTATAATAATAATTAGTGCCGAATTATACATTTRTAGGACTCTAGGAAGTTGAAATTTCGAGGTTCTCTAGAAAATTATTAGCTAAATAAGACTTAAATTTTATTTTTGTTCAATAATAAAAATGAGTTTATGTAAGCAGTTTTAATGTTAACAATAAACTACTCATTTTAATAAGCAAAACTATGCTACTCTATTAAACTGTTTTATAAAAACTCATATTAGTTAACGGAAAAATTAATTAGGTACCTACCTAATTTACTTTTTTTTATTAATATTAATAAAAAAAACAATTCATATTCAATTACTAATAAGAAATAAACTTAAAGTAAATATTGCAATGTTTAGAGCTGGAACTGGAACATTTATGATTTGATCGGTTGAAGTTTGGTTTTTAAAAATATAAAGTTTTTGATTCGGTTAACACCGGTCTTAATTTTTTTCATAAGACGAAGTTTTTATTTAAATTTCAAAAATTAAGTAAGATGGGTATAAAAAATTGCCATTGTATTAAGCATGTTTTTAATAACAACTAATTTTAGTTAATTGCTATTCAGGATTTAGGCTAGTTAGGTGTAATATCAATAATATGATCATTGATCACTAAAACTTACCTCAATACAATTATAACAATTTCCTGGTATACAATTGAGTTGATAATTACACTAAGTACATATCTATTTTTCGAGTGTTTAAGGTGGAGGGAGGTTCACTTTAAGACCGTATAATATGTAAGCAATAGCAACAATTTATACTCATTTCTAGGTAAAAGTGGTTAGTTTAAATTTTAACCAAATTTTCCAATTTTCCGATCAACTTTTTCAATTTATTTTTTCCATAAAAACCTCATTTGGAATACGACGAAAATAATGAGCCAAATCCAGTTACCAACCAAAACAGCTTTTCATTTGAATAGCTTTGAACTTAACGTTAACAGAAAAAATCGAAATGGATGGATTGGTACCGTTTAAGAAAATGTTGAAAAACCTCGGTGGATGGCCAGTGTTGGAAGGCGATAAATGGAAATATGCTGAATGTACGTGGAAGGACATCGTCTATAAGATTAGAGAGGTGGGTTACAGCGTGGATTACTTAATTCGATTTTCAATCGGCATAGATTCAAAAAACTCCACGATGAGAGCAATTGAAGTAAGCTCATTTATATACAATACAAAGTTATAACAATAATTTAACATAGGTATAAGGAAAATAGTTATCATCGTTAGGTATGCACGTCTGGCACTAATGAGTTAAAAGTTAAAAGTTAAGGTGTAATGCTAATTGCATTTCAACTTTTTAACTTATCTAATTCCTTTCGGATTTTCATTAATCCAACAATGTTATTGTTTCTTAATTAATGTGAAATTAAAAAATTAAATTAAAATAACAAAAAGTTAACTACAAGTATATTTAATTAAATTTATTTTCAATTTTATTTTATTGCATTTCAATCGATTTAGGTTTCAAATTGAATTGTTTTTAAGTGACGAAAAACTTTATTAATTACTTGAGATATTCTAACATTGTATAAACACAACACAGTTTTTAGTTGGTAAAAAAATAAGAGTAATAATAAACAAAAAAAWCTTTGGTTTTAAATAGATAAAAAGTTAAAAAAAAATTTTTATACTGGCTTTTAACTTGGGTAGGTAACTACTAAATATATTAACTTTTTTCGACGCACTAAATAATACTTACCAAATAATAATAATAATTAACTSGCTCAGCTTTGTCGGGCGCTCACTAGTTGCCTCCCGAATTCATAAAGGTCAACAATTTTTATACGAATTTCCTCCCGATTATACACGAGTGGCTTCATGACGTGATATTAAACGAAAAAGATCTAGACTTTGTAGTTAGTTGCCTTATAATAGGCAGGTAATAATGTATTAGTGGTTCCAAACATTTTCAAACATTATGCATCAGAATAAGTTTGGTATTTCAAAGTGTAGGTAATCTATGACTTTTGTGCAATGATATTTGATGTGATTATACCTATACGACTAAAAATTAAGATAAATTGCTCCTTTGTTTAATGATAAGATATAATCCAAACCCGGTGTTAGCCAGACTACAATAAAAATAATATACCACGCTATCATAGTGATAGAGTATCATGTGGTTGGTTCCCGACACTCGTTCTTGTTGACGATTTTATTTTTACAAATTGTTAAGCGATTTTAAATTTTGAACTAGTTTTTAGAATGGATACAAAAAACRACGGAACTGGACGACAAAAATTTAATAATGCTAAATATCTATAATTGTATATATGTATATATATATTTATTTATCTATATAGGTTAGGTTATACAATAGAAATTGTTATGTTTCTGTAAACTTAAGTTTTATAATTATAACAGATGTATGTTAAGTAAATGGTTTAATCAAAGTTGCCCGATTGCGGCCCAAATTCAGGTAGTCGTATTTTASCCCAAGTATAAGCATCCCGATATTACGTCCCAACTCACATTGGTTCACAAAATGGCTTAAAATTAAGTATTTTCCATTTGGAAAATATTCTAAAAACTGTATAGRAAAATGTTGTCAAATTTTGAAAATTGAATATAACTCATATTAATTAATATTTAAATATAGGTAAGTAAAATGATTAGGTAAATTAATTTCTGATTTACAACCAAATAATAAAGTAAAGTATTTGAATGTTAAATAAGTATAAATTCAAAATTATTTAAATACATAGCAAGTATATTTTGTATTTTAAAGATTTTAAATATTATATACAATATACATATATATCATATATGTACATACAAATAGTTAAATAATGAATTGTTTACAATAAAAAAAATATGTGAAATACAATATTAATATGTCAGTAAATAGTCAATCAATTTAAAATATTAAAATAATAAATTGTTTGCAATAATGGTTATATACAAAGAATAATATAATAATATGTCATTAAAAAAGTCAATAAATAGTCGACTAGAAAATTTTGTAGTGTTAAATTATAGTGATAAGGGTAGATTTTTAAGACTCATTATTTTTAGAGTACAAACTATAGATCGCATTTTTATTTTAGTATCTGTTTGGTATTGTTTCAAAATTTCCAACAATTGAAATATACATATACTTATTGTATGTGACGTATAAAATAATGAATTGAATTTCGAATAGAAACTTTCATATGCATTCGTTGTTAAATACATACTGGAACTACAAGTAGCCCATATTTCAGGTGGAAAATCAGGATTATCATCAATATAAGTGTCTACTAAATAATCATAAAATGATTGTATTTTAGCCGTTGAAGGTTGTATTGAAGCTAAATCTATGGCAAAATATTCACTTACCATTTCAGGTTCTAAAAATGATAATCCAAATATATACGTTAAAAACTTGCTTATATCGCTATCTTTATCTTTATAATCTGTACTTAACCCTAAATATTGTATTTTTCGCCACCACCATTGACCTAGATGGAACCTACAACCTTTTATAATAGCCAATGGCCAAGGTAAACGAATTGCCTTGTGTTTCAAAATCTACGAATATTACATCAGGCTTAAAACTTAAAATTAAATTTAAATTTAAAATTAAATGGTAATCGTGTGAATTGTGAATACGATAGTCATATTTATGTCAAAATACGAATCGGTCGCATTTGAGATAAATTAATTAGGTTTGATAACCATTAAATAGTATTTCTTACCTACAATGATGGGGCCCCACTCGGGATAGGGGAAAAGGCAAAAAGGTTACTTTGGGCCGCAATCGGGCAACACCCGATTTAATGGTGTATTATAACGAAATTAATGAACCACGTCTTAATTCTTAACGGGAGGATATACCTAATGTGAAAATTCTTTGTAGGCGATCCGTGTATATAATAAATTATGAATTACCTGGTTACTACTTGGAATCACCATATTTTGGGAGGCAACTATAGTATGTACATGCTTTGTCAGGTCTATGTGTATACCTAACATTGCGTTTAATGGGTATTGTTTTTACGCCTGACATTTCAGCTGGACGAAGCATCCTTGTCACTCAAGGGCATCGATGAAAAAATCGTGTTCAGATACTACAGGTACATGGTGGACATCGCAGTGCTGTTTGGTGCTGACCCGCACAGGGCCGTTAAGGAACTGGTACAGTCGTTGGAATTCGAAATACGATTGGCCAATATATTGATGACAGCGGAAGAGCGTCGGGACACCGCCAAACTGTACAACCCAATGAAACTTGCCGGTTTACAACAGAACTTCCCAACCATACCGTGGAAAGAGTACATGGACAAACTATTGTTCCCGCAGACCATACAGCGGGACGACATAATAATTTTAAGCTCACCAAAATACTTTTCACAACTTGAAGTCCTGCTCTACACTACGCCCAAAAGGTAAAGCCATATACTTGTACGCGATCAAAAGTG